ATTATGTTTACATGAAGTAAAAAAAAAAAAAAATGAAAACTTGTGTTTACATGAAGTTAAAAAAAAATAAGTAGTGCTATTGTAACGTAAAAAATAAGTAGTTTATGCTGACGTAAAAACATATAACAGTTATATGAGGTGATACACTTGGAACATTCACGTGATCCTTAATTTATATAGTGAAAAAAAGAGTGCTATTGTAAAGATTGTAAATTACTTTATTATCTAGAAACAGACTGTTGAATTGTAACATGTATTTTGGGATGTGCGTGTTTAGTGTTTAATCAATGACGCTTAACACTGGTTTGAAAATGAGTGGCGGAGAATAGCAATAATATGAGAAAACATCTCCAGAGAATGTCGACTGAACAAACATAATATATGTGAACAACTGCAATAGACGCCTGAACAAACATAGTATGTGTGAACAACTGTAACATATGCTAGAATAGAAAATGCAACAACTTTGGACAAATTTTCATAATAGTTTTACACCGGGTGTTAGACCGCCGTGCGTGCACGGCGTAAACCCATTTAGTATATATATATATATCTTATATATCTCTCTTATATCTTATACAAAAAAGTTTGTGCCCTTCTATAGGCGACACGTGTCCATTTTAGTGCTCCTCTAAAGTTGACAAGTGTCCCCTTTTTTTACATTTTTGCCACTGCACTGCATTGCATTTGTATGCCTTTTGTTTTTTTAATTGAACTTTTTTTTTTGTTTTTTTAATTCAGACCGACTTAAACGGCCGCTGCTCAAGACAACTTTTTTCCTACTTTTGCAGAATTCTCGCACGCGCGCAATCAATCTTTTCATTTACCCACCCTTCTCTATCTCTTTATCTCTCCTTCTCTAACATCTCATTCTTTTCATTTTCCAAATTATTTCTTCTCTCCTGAATTTTTTGCTCTCGCCTCACCAGGCATCGCCTCTCCAAGATCCTCTCCCGAGCAACCGCCGCCATGGCAGAGTCCTTGAGTTCCGTCGCGTTCGACCAATCAATTTCTACCAGATTCACGCAATTCGCCACCAAATACGACAACCCCGTTTGCGTGAAAAACCTCGACCACCATTCCCCTGCAGCGGTCGATGATAACCCCGAGCGAGAAATCAGTGACCCTAGGGTTCGTATGGATGATGACTTAGACTTGTTTTTGTTTTGCTTGATGTATTAGATTTGGTAATGGTCTCATCGATATTTTTCCACGTATTTTAATCGTGTTTCTCTGCAAGAAGCTTGTTTCTTTTTATCTGTTTGATTTCATGGATATTGAGTAATTGATCGATTTGATGTTTTTGGAATTGAAAAATGCGAGGAAATTGAAGGCGTTGAGCAAGATCACATGCAATCGGCTGCAGAAAGAGCTGGTGGAGTGGCAGGTGAACCCGCTTGCTCGTTTCAAGCACAAAGACACTGATAATCTCCAAAGGTCTCTTCATATTTTTTGCTTTATTTTTTTCCTGTTAATTTGTTTTTCTAATTTTTCATTATATACACGGGGACATATTTTTAAATTAGATTTTGATTTAAGCATGATTAAATGGGTGAGTTGATGTCAGCGGTGGCCCGGGTACTCTCTACGCAGGGGAAACTTACCAGCTTTAGGTTGATTTTCCTTAGCATTATCCAATGGAAGCTCCTCAGGTATGTGTTATCCAGATATTCGAATTTCATCGTTATGTGGACAAATTTTGGGAACTTTGGAGTGTACTTTGAGGATTTTCTGTGGGTTTGGGTGCTGCTTATAATTTTACTTTGCCCGAGATTTTACTTTTCGGTTCACAGTTTATAATGTTTAGTTATTTAGAGCCTTTTGTTGTTTCTTGGGCAGCTTATCTTTGTTCCTCCAGCTCCTCCACATCCTCGCATTTATAGTAATGGCCATGTATGCCTAGGTGAGTTTTTAGTACCCTATCAACATTTGTTTCTTTACCTCGAATATTAGACGTACTCTATCTTTTTGGAAAAGGGTGATTTAATTTTTCATAGACGTTGTTATCTGACTGAACTCGGTGCTGTGGTTTGGCTATTGTAAAGTGATGTACGACTGGCGTTGGATGAATAAGTAGAATCAAGGTTGTTGTGCTTCGAGTTTCTGACAATGGTGGAGTTGTTCTTAAGTAATGATGGATCTTTCCCTTTATGTAGACTGTTAACAACTTATGGACGAATTGGTAATTATGGAATGGATGGTTAACATTATGGTTACTAAAATTGCATTTTTGACAATAAGTATGGAGACTTGTGACTTCTGCATAAGATTTTCTTTTGGTTTGACAAGTTCTTATATGTCTCTGGGTGTTGCTCTGTCATTATCCAATTGAAAGATTGGTGTAGTTCTGAGTAAGGTTTTTGGTA